AATGGGCCTGTTTTCACCTCCTCTACCTCCAAAAGAGATAGATAGATAGATAGATAGATAGATAGATAGATAGATAGATAGATAGATAGATAGATAGATGATAGACAGACAGACAGACAGACTTATCGATTGTAAGCTCCTTGTGACTGAGAAGAATTGCTGCAAAAATGGACCACTAGATTCCTAAACAACTGAAAAAATGATCTAGTAAAAAGAAAAGTCAATCAAAAGAACAAAATGCAAACAAAAGCAAATAAAAGTTTAATTTGTGTGCATTGTTTAATGGACTGTTAAATTGGCCACACCCAGCTAGTCACATGACCATCTAGCCACACCAACCTAACTGGTCTGCCCCCCCCCCCAACAGTCTGAGGGAATTGGCCCCCTGTTTAAAATAGTTTGAAAATCCCTAAGTTAATATTCATTTAGGCATCTGGGATCTAAGGGTGAAAAGCAATTGGAAAAATTATAAGACACAAGACATATATAAGTTAAAGAGGAATAGGATAAGAAAATGCTACTGATGATGTTACCTAGTCTGGTAACAAAACATCCAGAAACTAAACTGAAACAGGCTTTGAGAGCAAACTCATATCAAAATTATAAGACTGTGCACCACTAAGCCTTAAAAAACAACTTGGCTATTATGCAAAATGGTTGCTAAATGAAAAAGACATGATAGAGAGAGAAAGGGAGGGGGAGAGATGTGATGATCACTGGTTGCTGTCTTCTCATTCAGATAAATTCTTAAATTCTTAAATTTGTATTTATTAATCAAATTTGTATAGCTGACCATTTCACAAAAGCAACTTCTCTCTTTTTTGCCCCCTTGCAAAGCAGAGAGATTGCTTCAACAAGCTTTCCTTTCCTAAACAGCTTTTATTCACAGCTTGCTGCTTCAAACTGAGCAGACGTTAATCAATTTCACACTGAAGGCCTTTGTTGGCAGGCACAGGACATTTGGTCATAAATGTGTACATTGGTTAGAAACAGCATCCTGTTGTTGCAGAAAATAAAGAGATAGGACTGTGAGATCAAGATAAGCTTTATTTTGGCCAAAAGGTCCAGACAGAGATAACAATTTCTAACATCTAGACAAGAACCCAAAGGACAGTTTCTTTTATACCTTTCTAAGAGGTATAGGCATTCACTTCCTGTTCTTTTGTAAGCTGCAAACTCTGCCTATGTGGCCTTCTAATATAGAAGTAAAGGGGTCCTGAGAGGCTGTCCAGTCTGACCCAGTAGGTTTCACACTTAACAGTGACGTGCAGTGAGGTTTATGGCTGGTGAGGCACTGACGTCATCACAATCTTTTTATTAAAATGCCTTTTTAATAAAAGGATCTGCACTGTTTTGTCCTGTCCTTGCGCATGTCGAAGGGGTGGTGGGCAAGAGCATATCGCCGAGGACCATATGCGGTGACCACCAGTAGCCAACAACAACAAAAAAAGAGATTGGGGGGGGGGGAAGCAAGGAGCCGAGGAGTTCCTTGTTGTGTTTTCCACAAGGGAGGACAGTCCCTCCGGGGGTGGGGGAGAGATGGTGATGATGATGATGACAATTAAGTATCAAAA